CTTTCCCCCTCCCCCTAAATATCACACACCTTATATGAAACAGAAGTTGAGAATATTACAAATCAAATGCATGATTGCCCACTAATCTCACTGGGAGTTTATAAAACCCATTAAATGCAGGATGGTTTCCCCAAGAAAAAAAATAAAAATATGCAAGATCCTATTCCTCAAGGTTAGTAGTGTAATTAAGATCTCTGGGTTTTAACAATTTAAGGCTTCGTCACAGTTGAAAGTTTTTTCTTCTGTGATTATACAGCTATATTTTTGTATTACTATTATTATATATACACATTTACACACATTCATACACTGAAGTACTTTATTCAACTATACATATATAGTTCTTCTAATATAAAACTCTGTTCATACACTTTGTTTTAAAATAAGAATATTCACATGGGGAATTGCTCCAGTACAGAAAAGGCAGTAAAATTATATAGTTACAGATTGTTCAATGTATCTCCAGGTATGCATAAACTCATTTAGAAGACTTTTGCTCTGGCACAGAAGCTGCTCTTTCTTACTCCCCTACTACTGAATTTAAACCACACCAGAGTTTTAACGTGTACTCCAAGTGTCCTAAAAACAAGCCACCAAGCCATTCTGGCGAGACTGGAGGAAAGCTAATGAATGCCTCTAAAAGGCTCAGCCTGCAGTAGCTCCGGCTACAGCTAGTTTATCTCCACAAAACTCCCTCATCCTCATCAGCTGGGCCTGTCAAAACAGGCATTTTCCACGACAGATACACAAAGATTACTTCACTCTCCCCTTTTTTTCCCCCCAAAAGTAAATGGGATGTTGTACCCAAACAGGAAGATTTTTCGCTCTGGTTAACACCCAAGTAAATAATTTTCCATTTGGGTTTGTCCCATTTTGCTCTCAGCTCCTTTCCATTAATCTGAGGAAGAAAAATGGGCAAGATGGGAAGGTTCCACAAAACTGAGCCTTAGTAATTCCTGTTAAATTAAAATGGTTTAAAAACCCACTGTGGTGGCTGCTGTAAAGCTCGCGAAAGGAGAGAGGGGGGGGGGGGGGGGGAAGTCTTACAAAAAAAGAGAGAACACCCTAAGCAAATGACAAATATACTTGATGAATTCAATTATCTTCTAAGTTTAGTAATTTTTACTTTTTTCCCCAATGTTTGCTTATGATAGTAGAAATTTTCTCTATCCTCTCTACTTTGAGGCTGTGGTTTCACAGGATGAAGGCTTCTGCAGCTTAAAGCATACCTGCCCCGGGCTGCCAGCTCCTCCCGCGAGTGCCCATCCTGCATCCTACTGCTGCTCACTGGGACCGCTGGCACCACTGACCACAGCCTCATGCAGAACAGCTCAAGGGTCTAAAGAGGCTTACAAGCTTTTTTTTTTTTTTTTAAATAAAAACCTTTTAATACTTGGCAGCACTATACCAAAGGAGCAAGAAGCATTTGCCTCTTGAAGTCACAATTCCTGACAAAACATGGGAAAGCACGAAGACTTTCAGAATAGTAATAATCATTAAGAAGCAAAGGCAGGCACATCGTAATTGTTATTATTTTGCAGCTGCCCTTTAAAGCAGGGAACTAAGGTGATGCAGTTAATTAAAACTAACTGAAAGTAAACATGACTTGTACAAAGCATTCAAATATAAACATTTTATAACATCTTCAGAAAGTGAGTGAAACCTGTGGGTGGGAGCATTGCTTCAAGATGACAAAATATTTAACATGATATCCCTTTACTCAAAAATAATTGTACAGTAAAAATTGTCTCTAGAACACCTGTTCAAACATTAATTAGTAGAGAAATAAAATAGAAAGACTGGACAAACTGATTCAAACGTCATACTACAGCAGAGCCTAAGTAACCGACAAAACTGCTGCCACAGCCAGCCTAAGCAAAGGGAGCAGTAATACACTGTTATTTACCCGACAGTACACTTAAACGGATTCACTGGGAAGTGCTGGTGTAAAAATACATATAAAGATGATAAAAGAGAACCGTATCCCTGCTGATAGAGCTACATGACACTGTCACATGAGAGGCACAAAATGAAAGCAGGAGAAAAAGCGCAGGACGCGCGTCCCACAGAACAGGCAGCATAATGCCACCAGGTTTACGCTGGCAATATTCCGCAGACTCTCCATTTGCTCTGTGTGAGAGTCAAGCCCAAAGGGTACTGGAACCAGAAATGGCTCAGTACACGCAAAGAATCCAGTTCTCACCTTTGTACGTGAAGATGCATATCCATAAAGAAATTACTTTTAAAAAAAATTATTTCCTTTAGGGAAGAACATTGTCCTTAAGCTGCACCCAGCCACTGATTTATGGTACGCAGCTGGGCCCTGTAGCAATATATTGCCCTGCTATTCACAGACATGTCGTAACGCTCAGTTCCTGTGTTGCTTTACACATTTTTCATCATCGCATGATTTTTAAAATAAATTTTTCACTAGAGAAGAATAAAAACTCCTCAAAGTCCCTCTTAAAAAAAAAAAAATGCATGCATTACTTTAAGATAGCAAAAAAGAAAAGCAGACTGTAAAACCAAATCAAATCAAACAATCCTGGCAGCTGCAGCAATGTGGCACTAGCAAAGATACAACAGGCTAAAAAGATCACGGTTTCTTTGTCAATACTGCTTTTACCAATTTTCTGTTCAGGTCTCTTGCTTGATGACATCCTCTTTCAGAAGTATGCACACTTCCATTACAGAACATTTGGAAGACAAGTAAGGACCCCCTCTGGAGCTACCGCACACTCTAGTCTCTCCTCCCCAGAAATAACTCTACCGTTCTTGCCACCACACAAACCCACAGCCGTAGCCATATCTTCACGTCCTTGCCTTCCTCCACCCACAACTCGAGGCGGCTGGTAGGAAACTGTCATTTTTTCCTCAACAGGTTTTCTAAAACCCATCATTTGCTATCCAGACCTACACCTGAACTCACCTCCTGCACTGCAACATTGGTTTTTTTGCTTCCATTGTAAATCTGAGACTAATCCCCCCCAATTTTTCTAAATTTTATCTCCCTTTTAGTATGCCACACCCTTCCTTGAAACCAAATTACTGATTTTAAGGAAGCTGCAGTATTTCAGTTAAAAATCCTCTAAAACACTGTCACTATATTGCACTTTATAGTTGCAGTATTTAATTCAATTATACAATTTCTCCAAACAAGCAAAATACCTTTTAAGACATTTGTCAAGTCAGTATCATTTAAGAGATACCCAAATTATTAGGGAAGTGGCTGTATAAATGCTTGTGAGTTTTTGAAACAAAGCATGAGTAATTTTCACAATGCTGAACGCCACACTTAGAGGGTCCTAAAATCAGCCCCCACTGAAATCAATGTCAGTAAGAAGGGGTTCTTTAAAACTGCTTTCTAAATTTGTGTGTTCTGAATTCATTCTCTACATAGAATTTGTACTTAATGTCAGTCAGAAGTGCAGTCTGGAGTGCAAAACATGCAATGGAAGCTTGCTGACAAAAGGTCTGAAAAGTGAATCAAGAAATGGAAGTATTTCTAAAAGAAGAGTTACATCATCACTGTAGTAATAAACCAAATGTAATTAATGAAAACTTTTTCCACCTTGAAAAGTCACATGCATGACAGACACTCTTCAGCATCCTGAAGATTGTAACCACGTGAAATCCTATTAGAAGGTGCTGTGACTCTTCCGGCAGGCTTCTACATAACAAAAATGCAATGAAGTACCGTACAACTTTTCCCCCCTTATTATGCAAAATCCTTATCAAATTCAATAGTGTGACATCGTTCAAAATCCTGACTAACAATGGCACGCAGGAGGTCAAGCGATGTCGTCTTTGTTTTAGTTTCACGTGCTTTTCAGTCTATTAATGTTACAAGAAAAAAGAACCTTCACAGAAATAGCCGATAAAGATCAAACCTAACTAAACAATGGGAAGGAAATTCGGAGTTAAAGCCGGTACTTAGCTCTTAACGCACACCATTGTGCCCAGGTACTGTGCAGCAGAATGATCCTGCGGGTCATACAACACCCAGGAATAACAAGGTGCGGTAAGAAGCCTTCAGCTCCCCACTCCCCATGCTTCTGTTGGCTTAAGCTCGGGCCAGGGACGTGGTTTTAACGCCGTATTTGTATTTCTTGGGAGGAACCGCTGGGCAGCCCCCGACTCCTTTGTGCTGCGGGTTGCGAGTGGAATGCAGCATGCGGCACACGTTCCACTCGCAACCAGGAGGACAAAGGATTCAGTGATGGGGGGGACAATTAGTCCCAATTAGGCCTATTTCGCAGCTGAGTGTAAGGGCTGGGGGAAGGGAGCTTAAATTTTAAAGCAATGGGTCCCCCGGGCGAGTTAAAGTGAGATCAGTAAAGTGACAAGTTTCAGAAAACGTACCCGGTTAGCCATCGTCGGGGCAAGTTTCACGAAGTCGGTGGCACTGCCCTCAGGCAGAAAGAGTTATCTCCAGGAGATGATGGAGCACGCCATGTAAGACATTTGATGACCATTCTGCCTATTAACTAATGTGACTAACCAATTTTTCCAGTTTTCAACCCACTCCTTCAGCAGCAGTTCTCGGTTTCAACGCACACGCAGACACACACGCAGACACACACAAAGGCAATGTCAGGAATACTCACATATGCACGTGCGGAGGCTGGAACCTGCTCTGATTAATGTTGTAGTGTGTGAACGCCTGCGTTGGGTTGGAGCTGTATTCATCCACCGTTATGGTAACTTTGCCTTGTGAAGGAATTCCATGAGCCATCCTTCCTCCTTATGGACATGAGCAGCTCACAACTTCCCAAGGCCAGGAGCGGGGTAGGGCATTGTGTTCCAGGCGGCTCCCGACTCCAAGCAGCTCCTCATCAACTCCACGGACCTCTGCCAGGAGAGAAAGCCAGCACACCCTGCTATAAACTCGAAGGACATGCAAACACACGCAGACATATTGCTCTAGCCTCTCCTGATTTCCATTCAAAGATCTTTTTCTGTATTTTCGATGCACCCATCACCCAACTCTCCAAGCATTACTATTCACTTTTTTTAAATTAATTACCTCATCATTTAACTCCATCATTATTAAATACATCCAAAGGATTAATGCTTAAAATAAGGCTTTATCTACGGGGGGGGGGGGGGGGGGGGGGCGCGGTGGAATATCTGTGTTGAAAGCTCCAGAGAAATACTCCACATTTACTATTCTTTATTGAAAATAACATCTTGTGTTAATTGCAACCATGAAAATTAACAAGTGGACCCAGTTTCCTGAAGGACAAATGGCTTTCCACAAATACACTTGTCTTCAAGGCCCTGTTTTAGCTTTACAAAGTAAGTTCCATCTGAGAGACTTACGAGAAGCTGATGCAAAGCAGAAAATTTTACAACTGCATAGCAAAAGGTACACCCAAACACCCTTGAATCGAAGTATTCATCTGTCCAGAGCAAGGCTAGTACCTAGACAATGCTAACAAAATATCCATGTTATAGTGCACTAGCAATGAAGCTGGTTTGGATTCATCACCAGACAGTAATGATTTATCTGACAGATTTAAGTGCGATTTTATGCATAAATATTCTGCATAAGATGAAAGAAATACGGTCTTCCCGCTCTACGCGTCCCTATCTTTCACTTCTTCAAAGTGCTCTTAAACATATTTTGCATTAAGACTGGAAGCATTCTATAACATGAGCGTAACCCCAATAGCCAGCAACTCCCCAAACCTGATCTCTGTTGAGTTCCCTGCACAGAATCTGAGCTTCAATTTCTACGATCAATAAACTGAGGATACCTCAGCTGCCTTCCTTTCAGAGGGACTTCGTGAAAATTGATCAGCTGATGTTCGAAGAATACTTTCGAGATGAGCAACTCTTTAAAAGCCCCGTTTATGAGGCAGATGCTCAGCTGGGGCACGCTATCCTAGCTGCAAGGACTTACATGAAATCATGACACTTTACATCAGTTGATCCCCCCCCCCTTTAGTTGCTACACGCAATAGTGGATTTGTCATACCTGGTGTATAATTTACAGAAGTAAATCGGTGCTTACTGGGAAGACAAAGAGACAGGAAAGAGAAGAGAGAGACTTGAGTCCTGGGCATCAAACTAAGCAGTATTTTTCCAGTGTGATATTCCTGGACTTCTCTTAGGTCCCAGATAGAAATGTGTTTGCCATGTGCAACGTTAAACATTTGGAATCTTTGATTTGTATTCAAAATATATTTTTAATACAAAGACTAATTTCCAGTTTGGCATGAAGCAGATAAAAATGCCCCGCAAATGGCAGATGGCCTGCTATAGGCCATTTATTTTACTATTTTACAACCTCAGGCCTATGTAGGCTTCCATATGTTAGTTGGGTTAAGACATTCTGCAACCTTCATTCCAGTAATTGGGTTCTATCCTTCATCTTCTTTAGCATTGGGGGGGGGGGAGG